GATGACCTCAAGGCCAAATGAGTGAAGCGGTAAGGACAAACAAACGCCAGTTCATATACACGCGCTAAACACAAAAGTGGAGTGAGGGTTACAAATAGGGACAGAATAAACGTGGGGAATTTCAAATGTCAACGTAATGGAATATACAGTGACTGTGCTTTTCTACCTCTCAGCCTCTACGAATAAACCATTTTTACTTAAAAAATCAGTGTTTAGAAACCCACTTCATGGTCTACTCAGAAAGTGGAACATTTCAAACCCTACTGTTCTACAGCTACGATGTCAGCTATTTCAGTGTCACTTCAGCTCAGAGCACGTTAAGTGAACTGCTTGGCTGTGTAGTGCTGCGATTTGCGAGCTAATAATATGGCTGCGGGTAGATGTTGCAGTGATTGTGTTTGATCAAAGCTGGTTGTATATGGTTCAGTTAGTAAGGGAAACCGAAATATTCTTTGGTGTATTCATACAGCGATCTTCGGTACGCTTCCTTTGGAAATCAATTCTGCCAAAGCTGGAGCAGTTATTTTACGAAAAGTGTAAAACCGCTAGCAAACTTTTCAGTCGTTGTTGGTTGTTCAGCCAGCGCCCAAAAAACTCAGAAATCATTTCAAAAGACGTGTTAATGACAGTTCTCTGGACATATTCCCTTGGACATATTATTTGACGCTGATTCACAAAATACACCACAACCTTTATCGAGCAAATAAGTGCGACCACCACTCGATCGTAGTCCCTTCTCCCAAGCGTCAACCGAGCACCATCATAAAGTGGGTGTCAGTTCAAGCATATTTATCACTGTTTAGCTTGTGAACTGGTTGGTTGCGTGAATTTCCTCTGGGTGCGAAATGACGTAAATTCATACATGCACGCCTGACACAACCCGTAGATAGATACAGGCGTCCTTGACAGTGTCTACCCTCGGACTGGGTCAGACAAGGCGAATGGGCTATCGATTTTATCACTAATGAAAACCTAATTACGTACACACTCGAGCGGTGCCGGTAGGCTCCCCGGAAATCAGGTTCGATAACCATCTCATTTTTCTGCATCATGATTCAGTAGTTACTTTGAATAAGAGTGCTAGTATTCGAAACATGAAAGTTTGTGAATAAACTTTCGAAAACTGCTTAATTATACTGGTACCACTAACTGCTGTAACTTCGTGCTAATCCAATATTCAAAAACCTTCCGATTAATGTATAAATATGGAAAAAAATTGTTTTCCACTGTCCAGACGAGGTTACTTAGGTCACTTATCACCAGATCCAACGTATGCCCTTCATCAAGATTTAATGAAAATGCATTTTCGACACGACTATTTCAAACAGCGGTCACTAGATAAATACGAGTTAGCATGATGGGTATCTAGCCAACACACTACACGACGGCTTCCATCCTACCGTAGANACTTCAATCCGGGAATCTGCACCCTGAAACAACCAGGCCACTTTGACCAACTATGCTGTATTCAACAAGACTTTACTGATCAGGTCGACAGTAAATGAACCAGTAATGAAACTGACCCAGGGTTTGGAACCTGTACTCTTTGGCAGAAAGGGGAAATAAACTGACCAAAACAAATGCTCATTCTTCCGTTAGCCACTAATTAAGGCTAGATGCTTGTACCAGTCTGTGTGAAGACAGTCTGTGTAAAATGGTGTAAAATGTAAAACAAAACATTCTGTCTAGCATAGATTGAAAAAGAAACAGTTTCAAAATGCTCAATCGCTAAAAACCTCTTGGCCATTCATGGGCAACTCTAAAACAGGCTGCTCCTGATATTGCTACTACACTTCAAAGAACCAGCATCTGTCCTCACAAGTTTTTAACACCTCCACTACTAGTATGAATTCAGATAAGAATATGACCATCGTATGATTCGTCGTTGTATGAGCAACGTGGGCATATGCGGTAGACACGTCTAATGACACTGCTACCAATACATTGCTTCATGCGATTTTAATATGGTGAAAGCGTATAAGGTGGAGTACATGAAGAAAAACGTTGGCGGTAAGGTTTTGCGTTGGCTCAATCGAAAATACCTCAGTCGTTAATGAACAACTATCTTTGTTCTCGAGAAATACACTCAGTTGCAGATCAATTTGGTTTTCACTAGAGACTCAACTGAATCTCTCGTTTATGATATTCTACAAATGAGAGTGCTGCACACAGACCGCCTCATGTTTCAGTAGGCACGATATTCGAGAGATCGCAATGTATTTTCATGAAGGAAACTACTCACAAGGTTGCTGAAAACTCTTTGACAGCCCACGACTGGTTTCGCCCTTCTTGGGGCTCATCAGGTAGGCGCAGTCCCCGAGTTTCCGTCAACCTTATTTTCTACTTGAACCCAAATTGGACTGTTTTCGAGAAATACACTCGTCTGAAAATCCATTTGGTTTTCACCAGAGACTCAACTGAATCTCTCGTGGCTGTCGAAGAGCTCTCAACAATCTTGTGAGTAGTTTCCTTTATGAAAACTTCTTCATTGGAACCAGAGTCATAGGCGTAGTTGTACTTATTCGGCAAGGAATGAGTCAGACATCCGAACTGCTACAGCGGTTCATTTTCGATCATGACAGCATAGAAAGTATAGTACAGGCTAAAACTGCAAGTAACCCATAATGGTAGTAATAGAAATAATTTCAACCAAGGTTGACTGAATGCATAGTGTTCTTCGTTAACATTGTAGTCTATGGGTTTTAACCGTCTGGTACCGCTGGGTTCACTTATGCAAGTTCGCGGAAATAGAGGAATTTATTCCTTTGAAATATTCCGTAAGAATAGCTCAAGGTTAGCCACACAAGATAATTTCTAAAACAGATTTGAACGTGTAAATTTCTCGGCAACAATAGTGACTTTTTAAAGCTGGAATAGCGCGCAGTCATCATTAAATTCCTTGGGGATGTCGCGGCTTGTTTGCTTGCTCATCCAGTCGAATTCTACATCCAGCTTGGGAATATCTGGATCCCTACGATCTGTTCAGTTCTAATTTGTTCATATTTCTTCTAACCATTGCATATTGTGCTCAACCGAGCTCCTAGGTGGAATTCCGGAGCATGTTAGCTGGTTGTATTATCGATTTGAATGTTTGGGTTTTGTAAACGACTTACGCGTGCGTGTAGGCAGGTGCAGTCAAAGCAGATACAATCAGCGGTTCCAGCAATTGATTCACTGTCAAGTCAAACACACGTCTATCGGATCTGTCTGTCTACCAGGCTTGTGTCGATAAGACGAAAAATAACATCTATTTACCCTGTTGAGTGATGGCTAGTAGGTATTCGGTGTAATGACATTAAATAGTAAAGTTGTTAAGTTGTCGGGATTTTATTTCAAAACAGTGTTAAGTTCACACGCCTTGGCCCAACAGATAATGATAACTTTCAGTGCGTCGATGTACATCAGCTGTTATAGTGTCACAAATTTCCAATAATGCATGCCTGTCATCAATGGCCAAACCATGGCGTTATTATGTACACAAGAAACCATAGATCGATTGCGGTTTTCAGACTGATTTTTATTTTTGATTTTGGTGTAGCGAAACCCGTCAAAAGCCTTGCAAAATATTCTGAACAGGATGCAAAAAAACTCATTTGCCATTAATGAGGTTGGTGAAAAAGGCAATCGCATCACACCACAAAAGATCCCGGACGACTCACCAGTTTTGATGGAGAGAAAAGATTTCTTTGCGCATGATCCAAAAAGGGTGCTCAAACTTTAGATCTAGGGTTCTTAAAAGTAGCTGGAATCAACTAACACAGTGAATGGACTAATACCTATTATTTTGTGTTTACAGAACATACATATTCACTTACGATAGATGGATTTGAAGGCGAGATAGCAAGTACATTGCTCTGTTACAAAAATAATCATTACACTGACCTAAAAAAACCAGAGCCGGATGTATAATAAGCTAATTCGACCCTTAAACGTATCTTCCGTAGCCTACTTGATATTATACGATATCTGGTTCAAAGTGCACGTTATTATTTATGAACACGCGAATGTTCCCAGAGACTGTCTCCCATGGGTGATGCGCTTGTTGTCATCTGGTTTTATCCTGATGAAGTAACATTACATTCGGTGATGATAGGGAATAATACCCTAGATCGCTGATCCAGTGTATCTTACTAGCATTAAATAAAAAAATTTCGCACTTCCAGTTCTTCAACTGGGTAACGTAATGTTTCCGTCAGGTGTTTATGGGACAGACGGCTTATTTCTCCCCAGGTAGCCATTTTGCCGGAAGAGCTTAGAAAGCAACGGAACCGTTGTCATGCAAACGACCGAAGAATAAGTAGCCACAGCTCTTTCCGTCCCATCCTGTGAATTACACCATTCTACCCGCGCTCACAGCCTCCAGCCTAGTCCATCAAACACATGCTTATCAGTCGAAAGGATAACCTCAGAATTTTGAAAGGAATATTCAGTAACTATTGCCGCTGCAGCAGGCGATCGAACAAGGGTTGCATTGGCTTCCACGAATTCCTCGGCGATTCCCATCGAAAATGTGCCACTGAGACCCGTGGAATAGTTGATAGCAGGAGCGAAACTTTATTTATTTATTTATCCGATTAAAATAGCCGTGTTCATGGGTAGTTTTGAATGAAAACATTTGTGCTCCAATGGATGTCTTTCAGATGTGATGCGGTTACAGCCGACACCCTGCTACTAAACAGTGAGGAAATATTCGTGGAGATTTGGACTCTTAGAACATTTAAATGAAGGGGAAATCAGTATTTACTACAGGACCCGCTCTCGTTTGCGAAACCTGTACATAAGCCGCATTTTGAAGCACAAGCCTTCAGTATTTTGTATTCATGGACTGACAGATAGTGCCCTAACTGCTAATGCACTAAATATGGTACAGCGACGTCTTTAGCTTTGAACGTAACACATAGTTACATTCCAGCATAATCTGTCAGCTACTGCTTGACCAAATAGACAGGCACATGTTCATTAAGGCATGAGTCAAAATGGAGTAACACATTTTATGCTACATGCACACAAATAAGGCACCCCTGCTCCATATTTTCGGTCCCCAGACAATTACGGTGTCAATCCAACAGAACGGCAATTCCTTTCGACGTGACGTCCAATCAACTTCAAATGGGAGGGTACTGATTGTGCGTACCCATCAGGTGGGTTGGTATGCCAGTGAACAGATTGTGAGAACACTTGCGTGAGAATTATAGGTCTTCTCAATCATGGCTCGGAAACTGACTCGACATTAATAAAGGCTCAAAACATACCCTCATAGGATCATGCGGTTGTGTAGCATAACTTCGGATTTTGCTTGTTTTCTGTTGTTGCCCAATTTAGCTCACCACATACATGCAACTGACTGGTGAACAGGCAAGCTGTGGGTCACCATGAGAACTGCCCGTTTGACCCGGAGGCGTTAGGTAACATGGGAATGCACTAAGTGATAAAACGGGATAAGAAATCAAGTGGTGAACACCTAGGTCAGTCCCGCCACGGAGGAATGCATGAACACAAGTTGGAAAGGTGTTAAGATTTGGAGACAGTCTTGGCACCAGAAAGAGGTAATTAAACATTCCATGAGTTGGATCTTGAATAGAAAATTCTCAAATTGATACATCAGTTACCACGGCTGATGATATTCTGAATCCCGCATACCACACTTAGGGTATGAAAACCGTAAGTTAAATATACCATGTATTCGAGTATTATTCGGCTGTCAGAACCATTCACCTACCATACGAAATTACCTTTTGTTTATTTAAACGTAAGGAATTATCGTTCGGCTGGGTAATAAAAGAGGGAACCCCAGGACTATTACCCATCAGACTGTGTGATAGGTACTCAGATTGTCAACTGAGACTGAACATGGATAAGAGAAAATGCCGTCCTCTGTCTGTGTACTCAGTAGCGAACAGTGCGGTAGTGACATTCATAATCGCTGATCGCGTTATTCGCTGACTAAGTAGTGCATGCAGCATGTTGAGATGACTTTACGAAATCTCACTCAAGTTGATTTTCATTGTGAGTTCTTACCAGGAAGCCAAACTGTTGGACCTGATGCTAAAAAATATATGAGTGCCGTCTATAAATGCCAGTGAACAAACTCCTCCTTACCTATCATGTGATAGGTACTCAGATTGTCAACTGAGACTGAACATGGATAAGAGAAAATGCCGTCCTCTGTCTGTGTACTCAGTAGCGAACAGTGCGGTAGTGACATTCATAATCGCTGATCGCGTTATTCGCTGACTAAGTAGTGCATGCAGCATGTTGAGATGACTTTACGAAATCTCACTCAAGTTGATTTTCATTGTGAGTTCTTACCAGGAAGCCAAACTGTTGGACCTGATGCTAAAAAATATATGAGTGCCGTCTATAAATGCCAGTGAACAAACTCCTCCTTGTTTTTCCTCAGAGCATCGAGCCCTATGTATCCTCATCGTCCATAAGGTTAGCAACAAACTGTGTACGGGTTGCACATCGGCTTTACCTGTCACAGTTCCATTTGTTGTTAATTATAACCATGTGGGTTCAGAAGCGAAAGATTCTAGGTACGTATGACGGGTGATCTAACTGATCAAACTTAAGCTGACTGCGGTTGCAACAATGTTATGGCAGGGTAGGCAAAAACTGCCTACCTCCTTTAATTCTGCACACAACTCGCTTTTTTACTGGGGCATCCATCATCAGGCTCGCAACAGTGGTATAATCGAGGATGGATTATACACTGGTTAAATCATAAATTTTGCAAGGTAAGTTAATTGCAGTTAATTGCTCCAATAGCATGCAGCTTTCTGAATCTGAGCGGTTATCTTTTACTCACAGGGAAAAAACATCTAATTTAATCCAATCCAATATGGCTATCCGGTTGGGTTTTCTTACTGCGGTTTACTCCCTGTTAAATGCGTTGCAGGAATCTATATCAGTCTGTTAATTGACATATCTCTGGTCAGCTTCGGCAACGTCCACCTTGTTGACAGCCCTGTAACCTCGAAATGCCTCAGGTATCGTCCTGCAAGTAGGTCACGCAAGCTAATGTTGATGAGCGGCTACAACTACGAACAATGGAAAAGACTGAACCCGAAAGATAGCTGTGGGTTACTGCAGATGACTCTTTCTCCCCACATCTAATCAACTCGCAAGTATCTCCAAAAATCCTTCAACTGCCTCGGTAAACTCATGCTCTAGTGGGTAACAAGTCCCTTGACGAGCAACTTAGAACAGCCAAACCTTTCGGAAACCAGTTACGTGATCTGTACTGTAAAATTCCAAACACACGTCCTGACAGTTAAAAGTTGGCTTGATGTAGGTTAGGAGTCACATTAATAACTTCCAAAATTTCTTTGGTGCACCAAGAGTACGCTGCTTAAGAATGAACACGTTCACCAGCCCAGACATGATAATTCAATAGCATCCAACATGTGATTATGCAGTAATATTTACACGCTCTCTTCAAAGGTCAGATGCCGGTAGTTCAGATCTCAGTACGGACGGCAATATCCTTACCCGATTAGCTCTAATAAGAGCAGAACAACTAGTCTGTACTTCTTTACTAGAAGAAGAAGTAGAGGTTGCATTCAAAATGTATTCACGTGAACAAATACGTGAAAACTTTCATGGGAAATGTGGAATGGTCTGCAATCACGCCCAGGCAGACAAATACTTCGCATCATTTGTCTGCCTTGGTACAAACCTTCAGCCGAATGCATTTTGTTCTTTTTTTATTTTTTACCACCACGTAGCAAACATATAACTGTAGGTTTTACGTGGACGCTGAAAGTGAAAAACACATATCTAATGTACATGAAGAATCTTTGCGCAGGCTTTAAATCAACCTTTTCGTGAAATCACATGTGGCCTAAAATCAAATTGCTCGTCCTATTCAAACTTTCCCGAAAAACTCAAAAATAATAAAGAGCACCGATAAAAATGAATAGGCCCGCAGAATCAAGTGATGACTAGTCACGATTTTCCGCCAAAAAATAGAAGTTAAATGGATCCGCCCAATTCAAATGTAAAGATCATTCCAAAACTTAGGCCCTTTCCTTAAAGTTATGTGAAATGTCTGCGTGCGACAGATTTCAAAAGCCCACTTGCTGATTCGCGAATTCCTTCTAATAAGGGGAGCAAGCCAGCTTTTTTGTTACGGCTTTTGTTACAGCTTTTCTTGTTACATATATTCAGGTATCAAGTAGACATCACATGACTCACAATACAGGCCTATTTGCCCCTCACCTGATTAGGGGTATAATGGCATATTTTAGCGTATATACATGATAACCATTGAAAATTATGTTTTTACCTAATGCGTGTTATCTGAGGCATGGTCATCAACAATTGAAAGTTTCGTCCTAAGTTTAACTAATAATCTGCATAAAGAGCACTGCGACATCAATTTGGACAGTATTTTATGGACAACAAAAGACGTGCAACTTCAAGCGGAGTTATTCAAACGAGTTAGATGGGCTGAAACTTTAGAGTTGATTGTGATTAGCGGGAAAATGAAGTTGTCTTGATAAGCCTGGGAAAGCCGAATCAGTTGCTTCCCTATTGGGAACCATCAGCAGGTGAATCACAGTTGAGGGCCGAAACCCCAACCTTTCAACAGGCAGTTAGAATCTATGCTACTACCTCACGAGGGAGTTCTCAGCATTTCATTACGTCTCACACCATATATTTTACTACTGTACCACGATCATCCAGCTCAAGAATATCACCTGGCGTTGCTAAGCTCTTCAAACGATGACTTCTCAATTTAAAGACCCACGCCAATAATGAGTTTTCAGGAGCAAGTTACTCACAGGCGGTACGCCAGTGAAAAACCGCTGAAACGTCTTTAGCAAGTCCGATCTACCAAATGGAGAGAGAAACACGTAGTCAAAAGGGCAGACGCTACTTAAATACCCCGATAATTTTTCCTTCAAGGGGCTGTGCTGCACCAGGGTGACTCATGTTTCACGAGGTACGTTATTCGATATACCTCAATATATTTTCTTGAAGTAATATACCACGCAAACGTTTGTTAAAAGAGGTCGCTGAAACGAGAGTTTTGGTTAGGCCCTCTGCCCAAACCAAATTTATATGCTGAAAGAAGTTGGCGGAACCCGTGCAACTTTAGCACAATTAGAATATAAGTTTAACGGAAAATTGATAACTGCTCCTACCTGGTGAGTCCCAAATATAGAAAACGGGCCATGCTTGTCGAAGAGTTCTCACCAAATTATGAGTGGTTTGTTACGTCTGCCGAATAGTCTACATTTGAATCAGATAAAAGCTTCAGCTCATTGAAAATTGCTCGTTTGAGGGGTAAGATTTTTCTATTCCTGTAATGAGCGACAAAGCCGTTTAGAATCATGAAGCAAAATCCGTATAAAGGGTTGTATAATAGGATCAGAGGATAATGTCGCTAGTACAAGAGTTGCGTTCACATTTTATTATTCAGTTGTTCCAAACAACTCTTTCGTTCCTGGCACACAACACCGTTTATGCTTCCATCGCGTCCTCGATCAACATCCAATCTTGTCGCATTGATTTCTACATGACCCAAGGTAAAGGAGAACACCTTGAGCTTCCTTCGTTTCATCATCCAATAATATGCAAAACAGAATGTCCTATCTGTCTCTCTCGTTAAACATGCCCTGGTGGACTTTTTCAGGGCACTGCTTTTCATTAGACGCATGGGAACAGAGTGAGCTTTTTTTACTCTCTGATAGGTTACAGTAAGGGTGTATACGTTCACTGCGTGTTGCCCAATTTTTTCATTAGTGGAAGTTGTGCGTCTCATAAACTGGCTAACTAGGTCTCGTTTCTGTTTTATCCTGAATGCGTCCTACCAAAATATCCACCACTGGGCAATGGTTATCGGTAAATTCGCATAAATACCTCAGGTTAATTAGTGCCTTCAATCCGTCTTGCGAAAACCAAAACCCGGGATCTTCGATATGATGTCCGATGATTGGTTAACTTACCGCATTCAAAAATAATGGCGGCTCTATTTGAATTTCGTGTGCAGCGAAAGATGTGTTTTAGAAGTATAGTTCTTCGCAGGCCATATTCCTGTTCCTCGCTCATCAGCTATATGGAACTGAACACCTCATCAGTACACTGCTGGTTCATTATCATTGGTCGTTGAACTCTCATTCTTTTGTATATCCCTTCAGGTACACTCGTGATCACAGGTTCAGCTGAGTCACTGCTACCAGTGATATAATTTACAAACAAATTTATGGCTTCGTTTGTGTTCATTGGCTATAATGAGAAACAAGTTCAAGCATGTACCTCCATGTTGACGAACGATGTGTACCCTTGCCGTGTTGAGCTTGAGTGACCTCAACACTAGCTGCAAGCGTGATAAGAAGGCAAATGGACGCAAATTTCGTTAAATTTGCCTGCCTGTTCAGAAGTTGTGGTGAATGAGAGTATTTGGGTGAATATAACAAATTTACAATCCAGTGTTTCCATCAAATAGACATCTAGTTTCGCTGGTATCAAGGCCTGTCAATGCTGCAGTCCTTGAATATCGCATGTACGTGTTAATGCCTACAGCAGGAATTTCTACACAAACCCTCACCGAATGAATAGTTCAGTGACTTGCTATCGGATTCCCGAAAGNNNNCCGATATATATTCCTCCATTCTGAAGAATTTCAGGACAGTACGTGACTACCGCCATTGCATGTAAGGCACGATTTCCATTTGTAGCACACAATAGATCCATATAATTTCTTTTGATCGACACTGCACAGTCATAAGCAAAGTAGAACTGAAAGGATACGCATTATCATCCAGTCAGACCCCTTCGAAAATTGAGTGCTGAGCTGTCCACATTTTGCTCCAGTGGTTATTGCCCTTCAGAACCGTTCATTCTATTGATTAATAAATGCTTCGGACCCCAAGAGACTTTGGTCGAATGCCTTTGCTGTCCATACTGGGTAGTTTTCATATGTCAGTTGAAAAGATTCGCGAACTCTCGGTGCTTTCCTTTCCTTCCAGTTGCATATGTCGTCATCACTGCCAATGTCATCTTCACACGCCTCACTTCTGAGACATTGTTTTGATGTCACCCTTGACGGCATCTTTAGGAGAACTGGGGATGTGGACGGATGTTCTTGGATTCGAGCTCGAATCAAACAATTAGTCCGACAGCACATTGACTTGGTTTGCTAATCCGGGTCCATGGGTTAAGTTGTCAGCCTTTCGTTTAAACAACCAAGTATGACGTGCATTGAAGAATTGCACAGTGATAACTTACACAAAAGTATTCTGACCTTGTATTATTTTGCCTCCTTGTTTGTACTTTGAAGTGAGGTATTTGAACTGATTCGTCAGCTTTTATCAGCAACAATTTCGTAGCAGAGAATTAGATATCATAGTTTATAGTTCCCCTTATATATACTTCCGCAGATACAGTTTGTGAAATGCAGTCAGTTCATGCCTGAGTGTTAAGTCACCAGTTGTAAACATGAACTATGGCCGTGCTTTGGTCTTCCTTCGTTCTGTGCTCTCATAACTTCCCAGTGTGTCACATCAGTCTATTTTATTCGGAGTTGCT